GTTTTATAAATATTTGAAACAAAGTTATAAAGAATTATTACAAAAAATTAAGGAATACATATCCCTCATGCAGAGCCCTGATTCCTCGTCCAGCTTTGGCTATACTTTGTGTTAATGTCCTTTGTGGTTTATAAGCTCTTCATGTTTTAACAAATTTGGATTTTCAATTATTTTGGCCTTTATTTTTAATATGAATATAACAGAAATCTACCTGACCAAACGATTCTTGGTTAAGAAATCAGTTTGTATTCAAGGAAAAATAAATGATAATCAAATCCAACCAAAAACAAAACTGACATTTTCCATTTTCAGGTCGAAAGACACATTTTGTAAAATTCTGGGTTTCGCCCTTTTCTCTGACGCCTGATTAATTAAATCGTAACACAAGGTAAAAAAAAACATAAAAAAAAATAGAAAATGAATGAATTAGATGAACTCTTAAAAGAACAAGACCGTGAGCGTCGACCAGTTAGCCAGCCGTCTGTTGCTATGCATGAATCACCTATTATGCAAATGCACACTAAGTCCAACTGTCGAAATCGAAAATAAAAACTCTAAGTAAATTTACGGATTAGACGACATTTCTGGTATCTAAATAGTTTAGTTTTAATTCAGTTTTCACATTATTTTTGCATATTTCTTTAAAATTGACCTCTCTGAATTGAACTGAAACTGTTATTGTGGAACCGTTTTGATGTTTTCAATAACAACAGTTAAAAATGCTTACGCAATCCTATTGATTAAGTTTTACATTTTTGCGTATCTTTTATCAAATTGACCGTTATGTTGTATTAAATAAGTCATAATGTAATTGTCACAATCCCGTCAATGTGACCTACAGTTTGTATATAGTCGTTTTATTTCGATTGCCATGGCATTATCATTTTTTTAATTTTTTTTTTTACTTATGAGTTTGAATATCCCTTTGGTACTTTTCGCATCTCTTTTATAAGCATTTCGAAACTTGTTCAGATTATAAAAAGCTTTAAAAAAAATGACGAAATTCAACTTCTGAATAAAATTTCATGGCATTTCTTCAATATTTGGAACAGTCGGCTTTTGTATTAGTTGTTGATTTATAGTACAGTTGAGAAATTAATTCACATGTAGATCTATTTAATATGGCCTATTTGGTGAATGGTCTAGGTCGCTGGACAGAGAGCAGTCGGTGTTGCCACAATGTTGCAAAAGCAGTTGCTCGAGTGCTGTTAGTGCTGCTATGGAAAGAACAAATTCTGCTAACCCAATATGCAGATCTAACTTTGTTGGGCGTAATTTCAGGCGAAAAAAAATATAAATTGAAGTGTTCGCTCTGTATAACCGATTTTGTAACTTAATATGACGTATATATGTAGTACGTCTCAAATTTTGCGATACCATATGAAATCTGCAAGTTTGCGACAGCATATATTTTATCTTTCTTTAAGCAGGATTTAGACCAGTTGTCTAAAAAGGCTATACATGTATAAACTCTAAAAAAAGCAACAATTGTCATTCAATGTATCTTGGAGTCGTCATACAGATAGAAAATAAATTGATGCAATTACTGACTATGCTGACATAAAAATAATATCAATGTCTAAGAATGCAACATCTAGTTTCTTTTTTAAGATAAAAACGACCTAGGGAATAGGGGTTTTAGACCAAGCGGAAGAAGTAATTGTAAATGTTGCCGACATCAAGAACACTTTTGTCAGAAATGTATCAAAGCAGCAGTGATTTTTCAAACACAATGAGAAATTTTTTTAAAAGAAAAATAGTTTTTGGAACACACAAGGTAACGGAAAAATAGATGTTAGATGCAGCTGCTATGTACTCTTGAACATTATGGAATCAATGAGAGAGATTAAATCATTTTTATCATAAATCTTGAAATTTATACAATCCTATGCAGTGCATTTTTCAACTGCTTGGACGTTATTAAAGTTGAAACATAAATTTTATTATCAGCTTCCAATTTCTTACCAGAATAAACAAACGCCTGATGAACCTAGTTTGCCTAGCAAAATATTCCATGAATTTATATTATATCAAAACAAAAGTTTTATAGCACTCTTTGGCGTGTTAAAGATACATTCGTAAGCACATAGGAGATACATTATACACGAATTACTTACGAGGATGCTGAATCGTTATGAAAAAAGATACTGCACACAATAAAAAAAAATATATACGCCAAAAAAGTGAGCAAAACAACACCAATATTAAAAAAAGGAAGCATTAAATATAAGTATCAATAGATATTTTGGATAACAGATACCCTTCATCAGTATGGTGTAAAACGAACTCATCAAAATATTCTTATTTTTACAAAACAATTTTGAACGTAATACAAATCAAAAACCGATCCACGTTTGTGAAATTCTTATTATATTATTTTAATATTTACAACAGAACAGCGCATCTATGCATCCCAAAAAAAATACACCCAACTGCGGAGGTAAGCACTGCGCGATTTGAACTTTACCTCTTCATTGATCTCATTTGGTGACGTTTTTAATTATCTTATCCAAAATCTTTCGCGAGTGACTTGTTCCTCCCTAAACCAATCAGTGTTGTGGCCTATGATTGTTATAGTCAGCCGGTTGAAAATCTGCCTAAGTTTCTCCTTTGAAGGTCGAACTTCAACGATCTGCGTTAATTACTATATTGCATTTTATGTACTGTCTGCATTTCTAAAGCAATGAGTGAATTTGTTGTTATCAACGGAAACTTAGTTTTTGTCCTATGAAATAGGGTAATTTTGTAAAAAGTAAGATAATAAAAATACCGAACTCCGAGGAAAATCAAAACGGAAAGTCCCTATAATCAAAAGGTAAAACCAAAAGCTCAAACAAATCAAACGAATGGATAACAACTGTCATATTCCTGACTTGGTACAGGCATTTTCTTATGTAGAAAATGGTGGATTAAACCTGGTTTTATAGCTAGCTAAACCTCTCCCTTGTATGACAGTCGCATAAAATTCCACAAAGTGTTAGTACAAACACGATTACAAAATAATATAATTCGTTATATTCATACGTTAGAATATACTAACATTCCCTTTATTCTTTGTGAATCTGCCACTTCATGATACCATACAAAATGTCAAGTATATATTCTTGAATATCTCGTAAGCTCTCACTGCAATTATTTGTATTTCAAATCCAACTATTGTTAATCCTCGTGCATCACTGAAGAGATATTAACTATCTCGTGCAGTATAATTGGTACCGTTGATATAATTCCTCGATTAAATACATGCAAACTTAATTGTTCTTCCTATACGTCTTTTGTGTGGAATATTTAAGATATATAATAATTTGGTATGATTGCCAATGAAACAACTATACATGTTTGTGTTTCGCCTAATCTGTGAATATTTTCTTACCGGCGTTCGTATCCTAAAATTCTGCAAACAACTCTTGCCTCCTCTACATCAAATTCGTTATCACAGATAGTCCCCCAATTGCCCTTGTAAAATACTTCTACTCTACCTTCAAAGGCATGGTTTCCGTTTTTAAGTCTGAAGGCAGTTCCTATTATAATACACATTCATAAAATAAGCTGCTACATTCCGTGAACTTTAATAAATATGAGATTTTCTATGTATCCCTTCAATTATGAAGCTAACTAGTAACAATATTATTTTAAAATAAGACAATATCAGTCCATTGTATAAGTATATGCGTATCATAACAGCACTTATCACTATAGGCTGCTCCCTCGTATTTACAAACTGAAAGACAATTTAATGAATTATAAACATTAAAAGATCATCAATTTTACCAACTTATCTATATCTTTAAAAATTTGATACCGCCCCTTGTCATAGCATAGAGCCACTTATAATTTTTTATATGTTTAAAAACAGCAGAAGTTTGATTTTTTATTATACTTCAGTTACAAAAGACGTCAGTATAGACAAAAAATACGTTGACATGAGACTGTGAAACATCGCAGTTAAGATAGGATCTCTACGTCTGTTATATTTACACCTTTTTCGGTGTTATTATAACCCCTATTTAATCATTCTAATAACTTCACTTTGAAACTGGTTAGATTGTGGTTTAATTTGTTATGGTCACGTGTATATCTTATCTTCCGTATTGCTTCACATTTATTAAATTGTCAGAATATATGCTTTGAGTGACATTAATTCAGCTACATAATGAGATCTTAATTTGATTCTTTCAAAAGAATTTTTTAAGATGAAATATTCAATAGGTTGTACATAGTTCACTTTGAATAACATTTTGGTCTAAAATGATATTTTATTGTTTGAGAATTCACATGTAAACATCAATAATGGGTTATCATTATAATCACAAATATCGACAAGTTAAGCCATTTCAATTGATATTTTATAGTGTGTCTTTCTATGTTGTGATCTTACAATATTGTTTCAAATAAGGGTGAAGGTTTGATACCATTAAAACGTTTATACCCGCTGCAATTGTTAGCACCTGTCCTAAGTCAGGAATCTGATGTTCAGTAGTTGTCGTGTGTTGATGTGGTTCACAAGTGTTTCTCGTTTCTCGTTTTTTATATAGATTAGACCGTTGGTTTTTCCCGTTTGAATGGTTTTACACTAGTAATTTTTTGGGCCCTTTATAGTTTGTTGTGCGGTGTGAGCCAAAGCTCCGTGTTAAAAACCGTATTTTGACCTATATTGGTTTACTTTTATAAATTGTGAATTGGATAGAGAGTTGTCTCATTGACACTCATACCACATCTTCTTATATCTAAGAAGAAAACATAATTCTTTCATTCTATGTTCCATTAAATATTATGAATCCAGTTCAAACCTGAGGAATTCAGGGCAAACAAGAAAACTATTCAAGTAAGAGCTGTATGTGCGTCAGTTTGACTATATATCCAAAGGGGGAATTATATCGTAGAGTAGTCGTAATTAATCAGAAGCATTATTCTAATTTGTGGTTTTTACCTATTTGTTATGCCTTCTTAAAAGTGTAACATCAAACTTTAAAAAAAAATGTATGTCCATGCATTTTTACCACAGTCAACACCAACATCCTCCGTATGACCACAGTTGTGTCTGCCAAATCCTCTATTTGAACACGATCCAATGTCACTTTCCTTTCCACTACATTGAACATCATCCATCCAGATAGGCCCGCTAAGACTCCCAAAATGAGCCCCTGTGAATACTGCAGGGTTCCTAAATATGAAATGCGAGGTTATGAAACGAAATGGCGTTCAACATTTTAATATTGGTATCTTTTATGAGTTTATTATGAAATGTTTAAATATATCATTTTAAAATGGTTAGCCAGACATTATTATTTTATCTGGTACCAATGGCTGCACATTTTACATTTAATATAATAAAGTAGACTTATATTTGGTTTTGTCCTTCTTCATTTGGGCAATCAAACGGTCACTAGCTTCTCGTTTACAAGTAACTTACGATATTTTGTATAGCGAAACTAAAATGATAGTATTCACGATTATGATGAATTTGTATTCTTCTGCTTCATTTTGTTATGATATTGTAACTATCATATTTATTTAAGTTGGCCTAATTTGTGTGGCCTTATAATATGTTTTATTTGCAGATGTTTACAAAATAATATTGTAACTGTGCAGTAAAGAAATCACTGGAAAAATAAAAGAGACTGATGGAATGATTAGAACTTTCCATTTTGACTTACATAACGATTTCAGAAAGATGCGATATTTAAACTTCTAAGATTGTTCTAGAATTTTCCTTTCTATAGTTTTCTAGGAGTTTCCCTTCTTCAGTGTTCTAGAGATTTCCGTGACAACTATCTATATACAGACACTAAAGTTAAACTTTCAGACATAGACATAGACATTAATATTCTCATAAGTTCTTTCAGTTGGATTGACACTTTTATTCACGTTAACTACAGTATAATAGATTTTGACTTGTGACTAATTGGACATCATATTATGTTTGGATTCCCGCAACAGTGAAGAGAAGAATTCCGGATAAAGAAAAGACAAAAGATCGGACATGTATTTTGACAGTTAAGTTAACATTTCTATTTGTGTAATACTTCTTGTAAACTTGTATATAATAAATCTTGTTAAATTTTATTATTGATTTGTGTCTTTGGTTGGCTACAATTTAGAGTGATTTCTGGCCGTAACAATTTTATTCAAATTAGGTAGATTCTGATTGAAAATATTGTTTTCTTCTGCTTCATTTTAATCAAAATATGTAGATTCTGTTTGAAAATATTGTCCGGGTTTAAAAAATATCTGATTTTGACGCTTCAAAAAAAATCATTTATGATTTATTTATCATCTGTTTGTGAAAAATCCCTAATACAGTGCAATCATATATCGGTACAAAAAGAACATAGTTGTTAATTTAGCATGTTGCAGATTGACTTTCTTGTCTACTAAACTAAAAAAAATGTAAAATTGAAATATACAGAATAATCTATTCGAAAGTTAGCCCTAAAGGGTACTTGCAATGGTACGTACACGGAGGACATGACCCACACACTTCTATCACATATGGTACCCACACTCGTTCAACACTTTGGACCTTTTGAGGAGTTAAAGCAGTCTTACCAAAATTTACCATAAAAGAGATGATTTTTCATTTCCTATTGTAGATTATTAATTTTTATGGTGTTTATATATCTCAACTTGTTCGATTCGCTCGTGTGTGTAACAACGTATTTGATTTTAACGAAAGAAATCTCTCTATTATTGAAAAATTATTACACCAGGGTTTTCGATATCACAAACTAGTCAAAACATTTACTAAATTTTACCATCGGTACAAGAACATCATTCATAAATGTAAATCAACATGCAGATATCTTATACGTTCAGGAATTTCACATCCAATCTTTCATGGTAATATTCTATACAAAGCACAAAAATGTCGTCATTCACCTCAAAAGCTAACCAAACCTTTAAACAGACTTATTCAGAAGGGATATAGTTACGATAAAGTTTTCAGGTTATTAAAGATGGCATATTTTGGAATTAAATTGATTCACTTATAGGGTCTTTGCATCGGAAATAAACACATTTATTCTAAAACCAGTTGTTGGCATGATACGGGTTATGTTCTTCTCATATATTTTAATGATGGTATGATACTAAACCCCTAACGGGAGGGATTGTTTTTGATTTTCATATGATGAAGACATAATCTTTCAGTCAGTTTTATTGAGGTCTGGAGCTGGCATGTCAGTAACTGCTAGTAGTCCTTTGTTAATTTATGTACCATAGTCATTTTCATAGTTTCTTCTGTTACCTATTCTGACATCGGACTCAGACTTCTTTTAAACTGATTTTTACTGTATGTATTGCTGTGTGTTTGTTTATTTTACATTGGCCAGAGGTATAGGGGAGGGTTGAGATCTCACAAAACATGTTTAACCCCGCCGCATTTTTGCGCCTGTCCTAAGTCGGGAGCCTCTGGCCTTTGTTAGTCTTGTATATTTTTGTTTTTAATTTTAATTCATTTATATGTTTCGGAGTTAAGTGTGATGTCCATTTGCACTGAACTAGTACACATTTTTGTTTAGGGGCCAGCTGTACCCGCCTCCGGGAGCGGGATTTTCCCGCAGTGTTGAAGACCCTTTGGTGGCCTTGTGCTGTTTTACTACTCTTTGGTCGGGTTGTTGTCTCTAGACACATTACCCATTTTCAGTCTCAATTTTATCATATTGTTTTAATTATTATTATAACTGTTATATTTTTAAGTATTAACGTTTATACTAATTGGGCTCCCCTTTTTTGTACAATAAACATATTTTAATAAGTCAATTTTTTTTTCTTTCTAGCATAATTGTACAATCGATACAGTGAATTAAAATTCATACTATGAGTATAATATTATCGGTTAAATCTATATGATTATTTTGTTAGTTTTGTCATACATGTAAGTTTTGAAAACGCTATCAATAGATAATAAAAGTCTGTTATTTTACCAACAAATTCATGAAAATAATTGATGTTCAAACAAATTCATCAAAGCTACTAAGGTTAATTAATTTCGGCCCATTAAACTTTTATATGTTTTTTGATAATCATTTGTCTCCCTGCTCATAAATCCAGAATATAGACTGAAATTTGATGGCACGTATGAATGGAGATGCCTGATAAATTCTTTCAACTTAAAGTATTATTAAATATCTTGAGTTATTTAAACGTGTCATTGTTTGCATTCGAAATTATAATTGTTGAACGTACTGAATATAATATACTTACAGGGTATGGTGGCCTATCATAGCACAAATAACTTGTGCGTCTTCTGTAGTAAAACCATCATCACATACTGAACCCCATATGCTTTCGTGATAAATAGATACTGTACCCTGTCCTTCGATGCCATACATCAAATTCACTCTGGCATCTGTCATACGAAAAATTAAAGCGAAAGGATACTGGAAAACTATCAGTATGTCACAGACAAGGACTACGTGTATGCTTACCAGAAAAAGGAAAAGAAAAAAAAATGTTCACTATGAATGTACCTCTACTTGCGAAAATATTGTAATGGGGGTATTTGTTTGTTATACAAGATCTAATTCCAGAAGAAAAAACATACTGACATTTGAACAGTTTGAATAACAGTTAAAAATTATATATGTAAATTGTTAATTTTCTTTGAAACAGATACATGCAAGCGATGATTATCAGACTTTGTTTACATTTTTTATACATATAATACAGTTCAATATATAATGTTAATTTTCCAATATTATATGCATACCGTAACAATTCAGGAGAACCCCTTCTGTGAAGGTTATACCAAATTGCTTAGCAATTGCCTTCGAAGAGAACATACTGATTATTATTTATATGGACAAAAATTACTTAATTCCAAGGCAAATTCAGAAAGGGGAAGTCCATAAAAATGACACATCAAACTTTATTAACCAACGGAACTAATGGAAACCAAATGTGATATCTGACTTGGTACGGGCACTTTACGGAGAAAATAGTGGCTTAAACCTGGTTGTATAGCTAGCTTAACTTCCCACTTGTATGACATTTGTTTATAGTTCCGTTATAAGCGGCATTAAAAATCCTTTTGAAAAAAAAACAGACAATCCATGCACTTGGGAACTCGTTTGTTTTGGAAGAGTCAGCTGTCCAAGATCCACTAGGGACACCTGCATCGTTACTTTTTAAAAAAAAATTGGAGTCATATACTGTGGTTAGGCATCACAAAACAGTAGATTGGTTATTTCTCTTATATTATCCTAAGACAGCAGCACATTCATATACCCTCATATTTGTTCTTATTTAACCAAATGTAACTAAAATTAACTCTAACTAATGAAAGTTTGAAATGATAACATGATTTTTTAGAACAAAGGATGACGAGAATTTAACTATGAGAATTAAAATAGCACATACATATTGAAGAAATGGACAACATACAACACTGAACATGAATGCAACAGCAACAGAAACCTCTTTAAAACAAACTAGGAGTAAATGCTGGTACTGCGGAAGCGTAAGTCGGCCCATCTCAACTTATGCCACCCATGGTGTCACTCATTGCAAGTAATGCATTCTGTAACGTCATTAACCAACTTACCACAGTCCACGGAAACGTCTGCATGATGTTCACAGTCATGTTGACCCCATCCTGCAAATTTGCACTCAACAATATCTTTTTCAGAGCCATCACATGATACGTCATCCATCCATATTTTTCCAACACCTTCATTGTAATGAGCAGACCCATATACCCGGTAATTCCTTTGAAGAAAACACCTGTTTTATCCCATTATGAAGACGTAATGTAATGACTAAAATATGAAGAGGCTCCAAGGAGTCTATCGCTCAATCAATTAAATTACCAAATGTAAATTTAAACACTGGCAGCCTTCTTTTAAACACAAAATAATATTTAAACCGGTTTGATCCAAATACACTATACATATCGATTATGAATTTCAAGGTAATCTTAAAAACGCAAAATGAATGGAAATTGTCATGTTTGAGGAAAAGATGATGAGATTGTGGTTACTGGACTAATGATTTTGGTCATTGTAATGTATTTGTAAATCTTGTATTGCGAATCATTTGAGCTTTTAACGGATTCCTTCTACTGAAAAAAATAAAAAATCACATTGCAGGGCAATAACTTCTGATAGGAGTTGAAAGACGATTTCGATCGTTTTACCTACTTGTCGATCATATAGGTCATAAATTTTCTATGTATTTATAATTCCCTCATTTTCAAATATATGGGGTTGAGCATTCCTGTTGACGGTAAATCCAGAAAATCGCTTCGGACGCAGAAAATGCTTTCAGTGTTATAATCATTTATTAGCACTGTGAAGGTACCACTGTCGCTAACACCAGCGTTAATTTTAGTCTAGAATAGTATTCACTAAATAAACCACAATGTTTAAAAACAGATTATTATGACATGGTCAGTTTGCAGAGGTCAATATCCTTCCCTTAAGTCATTCCAAAATACATTGAGAAGTCTTCGATAGAGGAAAAATATCACACCTACTTATTGTTTATATCAAAAACAATCTGAATATCAAAGGCAAGGACCAAAAAATTATCGTAGCCGTTAACTATTTCTACTGTAGTATTCAAGAGTATAATATTAAAAACAAAAATGGTTAACACAACTATTTATGGACAGTAACTCTTATAAATATTTGATTGACGATATATGTCATGTTGATTTTTGTAGATCTTTCCTAGCTGGTCATTTTGTTTTTTAAAGTTTTACCTTTTCTATAATAAAATATTTCCATGTTTAATGTTTGCATTTGACTGTCAGATTTTCCTTCAGAGCGGACCAAACTGATGATCGTTTGTAGAAGACATCCCATTGATTGTTATAGCCAAATTTTAAACCTTTGGATGGGTGGTTTTAAGAAAGATTTTTAAGAGACAAATTAGCAAAAAACGCAAAACGAGTTCCAATTCTTCATTAGAAAAACTCTTATGCGGACTTCAGTGATGAATTCGGTCATTTGAATTATTTATGCATGTTGGTAACAATGTTCTTCTGATCAAAGTTTCTCTCTATCAATTGTGTTTTTTTTTCTCAAGATAATGCTCAAAAACGCAAACATGGGTTTCATTAAAGTAGCAAACTTTATCAAAACTATATCATACGGACATTAAACAATATAATTTCATCGAAATTAGAAAAAAACTGCAGTTTTGTTTATGATACTGACTTTATCAGCAAGAATATCAAGCGAGCCTGTTAGGGCGAGCTGATATTCGAGCTGATAAAGTCAGTTTAAAACATAAATGCCATTATTCTGTTTATTGGCAATTTGTCATAACTGTATTGTTTTTTGTTGAGTAAATGAAGTAATAAGAAATAGTTAGTAAAACTACTTTTACGCGTACAAAACGTTAGGATTGTTATTCGGTTGTATGAATGAAGTTGCGTGCATTTCATTGATTAATTGACGCGGATGGACTTTGGCACGCGACGTTGCTGCACTGATACATGACGTTATTGCCTAATATTTTCGAGCATCAAGTCCTGTCCATGATCATAAAAATATTAGGCAGTAAGATCAAAGGAAGATGTACAAACTGCCGATAAATAATTTTATCGGATGTGTCCTATTCCCGATTTTGACATTTCTCTTTAACACATTAACCCGAGACAAATGTTCGGAAAATAAAAATATTATATTCATTCATAAGAAATCCGGAATAAGAAGGTTAGATTATTTTAACTTACGTATTGTGATAACCAAGCATGCGACAAACAACTGTGGCTTCTTCATCTCCAAATGAGTCGTCACAAATTGTTCCCCATTCACCACGGTACTTTATTTCAACTCTACCTCTAGAAAGCGTTGAGCCATCGGCTAATCTTATTCTTGTTTCTGTTCGAATAATGAATACAAAACTGTTATATTTATCTATATGTGACGCAAAAATTAATTCTTGGATATCTAGCAAATGAAGTACGAATATAAAAAGGGATATGAAAAAACAAAGAGCAGATAACTCCATTGGGAAAAAGAGCTGAATAATATTGAACCAAAACGAAAACAAGATAATCCATATTTTATGATAGAGAGATACAAATAAAATTAAAAACTAATTGTTCAGAGAACAATTGAAGGTCTTTTCACTTCTAAAGATTTATTTTGATATAAAAATATTAAAATTCGGTTTAAAATGTCATTACCAGTGTCAAATGATAGCTTATTGTTTGCTGATTCCAAAAATATATGGTTTCTATACAATTTTGTTTGAAAAAACGGAGGTAATTTGATACTTCCGGTCTAAAAAATGTCATTTCCGGTACTATTTGATAGTTTATTTGAAACTGCTTTCAATAATATATTGTTCTATATATTTTTACTTGAAATAGGTACAAAAATAGCCCCTTCCCGTTAACACAAGGTCACTTATGTTTGCTTTTTCAAAGTCATATGGCTTGTAACCTAATGCACAAAGTCCTATGGCTTTATGATGTATAAATATGAATTTAAAGCAAAGGTCAAAATCTAGAACGTCAAATTTACCTATGACCCTGACCTCAATTTCAAGGTCTTAAACAAAGGACCTCAAATCAAAAGACACTAGGTCTTTATTATATATGGTTAATGAGTTATATCATCATACGCGTAATATCAAATATAATAGGGGAGAAAACTCCCATTTAATGTCAGCGTACCCTTTCAACCAAAATGTATGTGTTATGACATGTCGCAACTAACAATTTAGTAAAAATATGTTGTCGATATCTTATATGGTTTTTGAAGAGAAGTGAAAATAAGCCAAAATCAATATTTTGAATATGACCTTGACCTTTGACCTTGATCTAATTTTGTTGTTTTTTTTTTTAGAATAAGGACCTCAAATCAAAAGACCCTAGGTCTCTATCACTTATGGTTTACCAGTTAGAAATGCATATCACTTACATCAAACGCATAAGGGGAAATAACTCTCATATTGATAGCTTCGGTTCAAATAGTCATCCTTATCCTGAAGATCTCACTACAAAGAAATCAGAGTTTGGGGAGATAACTCTTACAATAAAAAGTCTTCGACTAAACAGGGTCAGTCTCAAAAGCGCAATAACTGTTCGATATCATATGCAAAAAATCTAAGCGACAACTTGCGAAACCACAAAACAAGTTTTGAAATTTGGCGGAAGAAGAAAAAAAATAATCAGAACAAATACAATAGGTCTTTCAACAAAACAGTGGAAAGACCTAATAAATTGAATAAGATCAGAGCGTACCTCGACCTCAGACACTAGTAGCAGACAAAATACAATTTGATGTTAAAAAACATGAAAAGTCTGTTTAAACGTATACAGATAAGGGCAACAGTAGTATACCGGTGTTCAAAAGTCATAAATCGATTGACAGAAAACAAATCCGTGCTACAAACTAAAACCGATGTAAACATATCAACATGAAACATATCAGAACAGCGATTTAGGAATATTGTTAATATTTTGAAAAAAAGAAAGTAAACAGTTTGAAATAGTGCCAAAAATCTAGTACATTGCTTTAACAAAATGCTCTTATTTAAAAAGCATGACAATTGTATACTATCTTTGTAGTAGAAGAATGATAATTCATGATTAACTTCGACAATAATTTAAAAAGCTGAATCATAGCAGGCAACAGATGTAGGTGATGAAACTAATCTGCAACCCTTTAAGATTTAATACCTTTAGTCATTGTTGATATAGGATGTTTCATCATAACCTGAGTACTCTTTCATTGCTAAATCTGTTTTCATTTAGAGTAAATAATAAGCTGAGGTTTCGTTAGTTATACCTGGTCACTATCAATTTGATGTCGGACTTTTCAAGAACTAATATTTCTGTTATTTTGATGAACAAATATATTAAGGGACTATCATAAACTAGGTATCGTGAGGAAACAGACAAAAAAAGGAAAAATACCGACAAGACAGTCAATAGTCAACAAAAATCGTGAGATTATGGAGTTAGACTTGCGGTATGGTAACAACTCTAACAAAAGTATTGAAAGTCATTTGTGTGTTTTAACCTAGAAGTAGTTGAGACAGTGATCAAGCATTTATTATGTTGAAATTTGGTTACGAGAATGATGCAAGAGCATCTAAGAAATTGGGACAACTTGACCCAACTAAGCATTAAATTAAGGAATTACATTTTTTCAAGATTCAAAAATCCAAAGATCATAAGTTAAAAATAAGATTTATGAAATGCTTTTGAAAACTATGTACTGAGAGTTTTTGGAATGACTTTTGATAAAATATTGAAAGGTTTGGGAAAATTTGAATTGGATTGAATAATGAAATTATGTTTGACCCCGCCACATACTTTATGTGCATATCCCAAGTCAGGAGCTTGTAGTTCAGTGGTTGTCGTTGGTTCATGTCTGTCATATTTGTTTTTCGTAAATTGTGCTTAACTGTATGTCTTTGGTTTTCAAATACAAATGGCAATATTCTAGAAGAAAAGATATGACACCCATCCTAGTGCAATCTAATGCTTACATATGACCTACATTAGCACAAAAATGGTTCTTAAATAGTGACAGACTGTCAAAACATTCAATTTAGCGTCTGCTCTTCCGACGAGAGGGATATTTGTATAGATATTTAAATTCGTCCCATTGGTAATCGTCCCATACTGAATATAACTGATTTACCTTATAAACTTGACGACAGTTATTGTTGGGACCATACAATTTTCACTTAAGTACACAAAAAAAATGCAAAAAGAGATTGCAGAAGGATTTATGGGGAAAAAATGAATTTTGTCAAAAAAAATTTCTATTTTCCCTATGTCTGTAAGCCTAACTGTTTGAATATTTTGTAAATTTCAAACGGTCATATTCAACAAAAGTTTATGATTTTCAAGCTTAATAAATAATAATTGTTTCACTTATATTGTGCAGGAATTAAGCGATATTTTTTTCTGGAAAAAAAAATGTTATCTGAACTGGGCAGAATTTTTGATTTATACAATAGTGTTAAACCTTTTGTTTACACTTAGGATACACACATTACCATGACATTTCAGATTGACTTTAAAATATGTTTCTACTACACATTTTATCAGTCATGGGTATTCCTAATGAGAATATGTGTAAAACACACAATTATATATACCTACGATTTTTTTCGACCGTTCTGTAGGGAACCCCAACATCGGTCTTATCAAATATACCATAAACGTAAAATGCAACCATTTCAATATGTATAACAATAGGAAACTTGAATCGAGAGGAGAGTTTTGGGGTTACCAAGGCCTACCCTCTAAAGCAAAAGTAACCTCGGCTTAAAAACGTGTATGAAAAAAGTTAAATAACAAAAACACCGAACTCCAAGGAAAATTCAAAATGGAAAGTTCCTTAACAAATATCAAAATTTAAAGCTCAAAAACATCAAACGAATGGAAAACAACTGTCATTTTCCTGACTTGGTACAGGCATTTCCTGACGTAGAAAATGGTGGATTAATCCTGGTTATATGAAGGCAGCTGCTTATAAAGTGTAAGTAATTATTACTCCACTAGTGACAATCGAGTACTAATTGGTTAACAGGTAACAATAAGTAATATCAAAATCGAGGTTTTGTGATTACAACTGTACCAGTTCTGCGTTCATTTTTCACACAGATATTCAATCACGTTTGATTAACCGAATCATGCTGGCTTCCGAAATCGTTCAAGGAATATAACAACAAATATCTGTTATAATTAATTACAGAATAAAAATTTGTGTACGTTAAGGTAATTCAGCACTCCCTGCATTTTTAGTGGAGTTCATTATTTTCATCTTGCTCAATCTTTTGTTTGTTTATTGAATTTCTTTTTCTTTGTGTCGTTTTTCGTTTTTTAGCCATGTGGTTGTCAGTTTCTCTTCGACTAGAGATTAAACGTCCCCTTGGTATCTTCAGCTTCTTTTTAAAAGTGAATGAAACATATTAGAATATTTTAATTATCGCTTTGACGAAATTGTGCTGTTTGGTACTATAGAACCTGTAGCACATGGAAGGTAAAGAGAACCAGAAAATTCCATTAGCGCATCTATATCCAAAAACAACCATTGAATGGACCTTTTAACAGAGTGATGGTTCGATGTGCAGGACCATTACCAAAGGCAAAATCGTACATCATGCATTGGGTGATTCGCTCCTTTTGAAGTTCCTGGGAAAGCCTAATTTATCCGACACCATGATTTGCCTCGTCTAAATCGTTTCATGAGATTTGGACATCAGTAGACTACAATTCCCTAAATTTAGCATTGCGTAAGATTAAGAAATGAAACCCGCCTCCTGTACATATATCCAGCAACATTACATTCTGTCTAACTGATGACTATCATATGCTTAGTTTGTTGTTTTTTTGCAGAAAACCACAAAGCGAAATACAATTATTTACTACCAACCTACGGAAAATGTTCCACATACATTATTTTGTACATGTATCAGAACAGACAATTGTTTTTATCAAGAATGTATTTTTCATTAGAAACAATGAATACCAGGTGATACTTTTACATGTTTCATCATAAAAACACTCGACAATTCTTAGGAGCAGATGTGTTAACACCGCTCAGTTTGAATCTGAATTCTATATATGTGTTTATATTTATTGTGATGATTAATTCAAATACATTTTGTTGAAACTTATTCTTTTAGTTACAAATGGTCATTTAATTCCTTTTTCTACAATGTTTATACAATCAATTATTATATACACTTACGGCATTGGATACCAACATCTTCCGAATGACCACAGTCATTTTTATCCTAGCCTTTAAATCTGCATGCAGATATGTCATTTTCTGTGCCATCACAGTCTAGTTCGTCCATTTTGATTGGTAGACTACTCTCTCCAAAATGTGCTCTCGGATAAACGATTGGGTGACTTAAAAGAATATGAAAATCATTAGCTTGAATTGTTAATTAAAATTTATTTTAGGTTATGTTTAGGTTATGTTTAAAACATGCCACTATGACACATTGTGTCTGTATAAGATGATGATTCATAATAAATCATTTAGTCGAGTTTAACTGTATTAGAAGTCTTGTCTTTGTAAAACTTTTCATGAAAGGCATGCATTTCTTGGGTTGAGCAAAATACTTTAATAACATGCTTAAGTGTTATCAGTATGGCAATTTCTGCTATTATATTGGCAGGACCTACGTAAGATACCCCATAGTAAACATAGCTATAGATATAAGAAGATGTCGTATGAGTGCCAATGAGACAACTCTCCATCCAAGTCACAATTTGTTAAAGTAAACCATTATAGGTCAAAGTACGACCTTCAACACGGAGCAAGCTATAAAGGGCCCCCAAAATGACTAGTTTAAAACTATTCAAACAGGAAAACCAACGGTCTAATCTATATAAAAAACGAGAAACGAGAAACACTTATGAACCACATCAACAAATGACAACCATCAGGTTCCTGACTTATGACAGGTGCAAACAAATGCAGCGGGTTTAAACGTTTTAATAGGCGCCAAAACCGATAAATGTTATCCCTATAGCACCATTACGATCCTTATATGCCAGTTGTATTTTAAAAGACATATGTATCTACTAGCTATTGGGTATCATTTAATGTATATGATGCAAATTTGTGCTTTACAAAGATCAATCTATTATCTTTCTGTGGATTTTTTTCGGCGGAATTTATGCTCATGCACTAAAAAGATCCACTTGTACTTGCACCTACCACAATCGACTGCTTTATGAAAATGTGTCTTTAATTTAAAAGTTTACAAATATCTCGACGATCCATACTAAAATTTATGTAAACACACGTATATAAGTTGCGTAAAATCCTAAATTATGCACTTTTATTACACTTTTAAAGCCCATAGAAACAGATGTAAACAATTTGAATATACCAATTCGGCTTTGTTTAACCTTTTCTAACAAAGAGTTCCATTTCTTTTGTTTCATTTCAACTGGTTATCCGCCTGATAGTGTACCATCACAACATAGAAAGAAACGCTATAACATATTAATTGAAATGGCTTAACTCAATCAAAAGACATATTAACAAAAACAAGTGAACATACACCAACGAATACATTTGATCTATGCCACAATGTAAATACAAAATTAATAAAACAAGGGGGTTAGATGTAAAACAATATCAAAAAGACAACCATAACCTTAAACAAAATGCCGCCAAAATAACGTATACAGGTAAATAAAAATAATTTTCATGTAAGGTATACATGGAGTACGGAAATGATGTTTACAAAATAAATAATTTTGTTGTACGAGAGCAAAAGTGAAAAATTATCGTCATACTAAACAATTATCAAAGGTGGTATATATTAAAAATAGTGAGACTAGATATAACACTGAATAAGTAAATATTAAATAACAAAAATACATTGCAAATTGTATCAACATGTCAAATTAACACGAAAGTACGATTTGAGAGTACTCGCAGTTACTGAAAGCTAGTTAAAAGCCAAAAACAATTAATAATAACAAATTATGCATCAGAGACTGAAATCAACTAAAACACATCCCAGGGATTAAGTTTTTTAAAGTCATGGACAGTCAAAGAAGACATGACTAGTGCAATGCCAAAATTAAATTATGGACAGGCAGTATGATAGTTAGGAGCTAACCTGTTGATAAATATGCATAATGTAATATATAGATAGAGTAATCTCTATATAGATAATGAACGTGGATGTGTATTTATACATCACAAAAAAACGTTTGAAAAGCATATAAATTTAGTTATGTTTTAATTTGCTGATCACAAAATCGATAGTTGTGCCAAAGTAAACTATATTCAACGATCTAATTACTAGCATGTTTAGCTGTCAAAATATTTTTTGTTTTACTTTAACAATAACCTAACGATGCCAATTATTAAATTTGAAATTTAGAAACCTAATATAAAAGTCAACAAAGGGTCGAGACAAGGATATGCAAGTAAAAGGGAGTTCCTATGGGAAATTGCATTGTCTATATTTACAGAAGTGCAACCTACACATATTAATAACTATGTAAAAGAGAGGCGAAAGATACCAAAGAGACATTCAAACTGATGAGTCGGAAACGAGCTGACAACGCTATGGCAAAAAACGAAAACGACAAACTAGTACACAAAACTCACTAGAGACTGGGCAACAAAAAAAAACACCAACAAATTTGGGGTGATAACAAGTGCTCCGTAAGGGTAAGCAGATCCAACTTCACATGTGGCATCCGCCAATTTGCTTATGTTAGTGCAAAACCAGTGATTTATCTTATTTTGACGTTACATTTGAAACAAGAGGACGGAATTGTGGTAACGACAAATGGAACATATCCGTCGTCATCTGTGAACCATCTTGGAATAACGGCCAACCAACTCGTGATAGCGTCTGTGAACTACACATCGTAAAATATCTTGTTCGAGTAGAGCCTTGGCTCATTTATAAACATTACTGATAAGATCTAAATATTTTTTCGGGTAAAGCTCATGCTCATATATGTTTTGACCAAAAACATGCCTGAAATTGCCATTTTAGTCTAAACACGTTAACTTCGGCATGTTTATGACTACATGAGAACATCAGAAGTTACCATGAATTAAAAATGATCATGTTAGATAAACATGTGTATTTATCAATAACATTAACCCAATTTTGAAGGCTTGAATGGGTTTACTATTTCAGCAATTTCAGTGGTCAATAATCATATGCTCTTATGATACCTCCTGTCATAGGTGCCAATAGTTAACCGATTTTCAAATCTCATAATTCGATACAAATCAAGGTACCTGAGGAAATTGTATGCACTACAAAGGAAGAGTGACTTAGTTGAGTCGACAGAGAAAGTAGTTTATTGACTTTAAAATTTCATTAATCGATAAAAATAATAATCAAGGTAACAACAAAAAAAACGGCGGAAATCGAATGAACTCTAAAGGGAGCAAGACTGATCGTCAACATAAAAAACATTCACTGTTACATATGTTATGCATGCATTACTAGCCATGTGAATCCACTGTGAGTCGAAATGTTAAAATCGTGAAAAGGACACTATCGGTAAAATTACAGATCAGACGGCCATTCTGTTATCTTTTTATCTAAGACCGCGAAGTCATTGCACTAGTGAGTTTAGATATACACAAATTGTATCAGTCAAAACATATGTGATGATGCGAAATAAGAAACCAATTGTCGGTACCTTGTCAAAAATCCAAGAGTCCTACATACAACTATAGCATCTTTCTGATCAAAACTGTTATCACAAACAGAACCCCATGTGTCTCCGTTATACACTTCCAATCTTCCTTGCGATGGAATAGGTCCACCTACAAGTCTTACCGGTGTTGCTAAAATTCAAAGTAGAGGTTATCATGATTAACACAATGAAACTGTAAATGCAGAATGAAATTGTACTATTGATATTTCAATAGATTCGAGTCTGAAATACTACTTTGTAAATATGGATGAATATCATCCGATTGTATAAAAAGCTATGTGGTTTTAATTATTAGCATTATTATTATATTATTATCATCATAATCATTCGTCTTCTCCTACGTATTAATATTTTGTCCATCTTATATCTCGGAATCGTATGAGCCAATCTTAATAGACTATACAAGAATGTTAACCACCTGTGCAGATTTGCAATCGGGGTATGGCATTTCCAAGATGGCCACCGTTTCCATAGAAACAGCAAAAATGTCCAAAAAATCAAAATGCTCCATAGGTTATGACACTTTACACAAATATTGACTGGCATATGTAGGTCTGCAATTTGACTTTGGAATTTACAAAATGGCCGCCATAACCATGGAAACAGTTCAAATTTCAAACTTTTCAAAATGCTTTAATCTTAATGTAAGTTATAAAAAAAATAATTGACATGTGAACATGCGCTGTTTCACTTTGGAATTTGAAAATGACTGCCGTTACCCTGGCAATTGGGGGACGAGGGTGCCATACAATATTATTATACTTCACGTAAAAATGCAATATTTTGATTGGCTTATACGAGGGTGTTAATTTACTCTATCACATAGCTGAGCGGGTGACAATTTTTTTGAATGTTACCCTCTCGTGCAGAGCCTTAACTGGTTTCTTCAATTGATAACCAGATTTTATAACTCTCACATGTGCGCTTGAAAGTAACGAAGATAAGCATATAGCTGTAAGATCCTAAATGACACCGATTTTAAACAAAAACAACAGGCGACATGTTTGCTGAAGTTTCAGAGTATGATATATTTAATATACTGGAGATAAAAGACTCAAAGTCAACAAAAAGATGCAAAGTTCACAGTTTAAAGAGTTTCCGTGATTACCTCGGCGAAGACAATACATTTGAAACATTTGCTAAACCAAAATTGAATGAAAAACTGAGATTGTTTTTTGCTTCGTCACGAAAAACTGACGGGAATCACTTGAAAAAGTCTACCATCACTAATTATAGGTACGGATTGTCAAAATATTTGAAAGAACATTGTTCCATAGACATTACAAAGGATGTTAAATTCACCGGTTCAAATGATGTGTTCAAAGCAGTCGTCGTTAACTTAAAGAAAAAAGGGTATGCCTCTTCTGACCACAAACCCCCTATTTCTAAAGAGAACCTACAGAAGCTGTATAACACTAATAGTATTGCAATCAACACAATCACACCTAATGGTTTACAGAAAAAGGTATGGTTTGACATAATGTTCTATTTATGCAGGAGAGGCCAAGAAAACCTGAGATCTATGACCAAAAAAAAACATTTAAAACAGATTCTAGTGGAAGAGAGTATGTGTATCAACAAATAGATGAATATGATAAAAATCATCGTGATGAAGCTACCCCTTATAATACCGTCGGTGAAGCAAGGATTTACGCAAGAGTAGGTGATCCTCTGTGTCCAGTATTATCATTTAAATTGTATCTGGAAAAACTTCACCCGACTCTCAATGATTTATGGCAGCGCACAAAGGATTCCTTTGATATAAGTGACACAACATGGTATTGTAAAGCTCCTAAAGGGAAAAACAGTTTAGCAGTAATGATGCGTGAAATATCCGAGAAGGCTAAACGTTCTAGAAGGTACACGAATCACTCTATATGTGCAACATCCATTACTGCAATAGATGAAGCAGGCATAAAGGCTAGGCACATAATGAGAGCCAGTGGACAACGGATTGAAGCCTCTATCCGTAGTTATTCCAAGAGACTTAGCAAAAAACAAGCAACGTGAGATGTCTGACAGTTTAAATAATATGCTTCAAAGTGACAATATTAATCATGAACTTCAGTCTGAAGGTGATCACAATATAACTGAGACTACACCTGAAGCACATCCATTACTTGGGCTCGTCGCAGCTGAAATAGAAGCTTTATTTTCATACAAAAACACATTGGAAGAAATTCCTGTCATGCCTATGGATATTTCGGTTGCGCCGCAAAATGTTTGTGTTCCTGATAACAAAAACAAGGAAAACTCACCTCATTCAGCTGTTTCTTCAAATTTTCAGCTGTCCATGAACAATATCCAGCCATGGTGGAACACTAACACAATGAACTTATGTCCGAATATTACTAACAGTGTGGTCAATTTCAACATTCACAAATGATTTTCAAAATTGAATTGTTTCACCAACTAAACAGTAACTGTTAAGTTTTATTCTTTGTTGAATTTTATTCTGACAGACAGTTATATTCAATTCTATGTTGAATTGTTTCATATATAGTTATATACAAAATGTATGTAACCTTTGTTTTTTTCTCTTGTTAAAGAATTGATGAAAAATATTTCTGTTTTCTTGTTGTATTTTCTCCATTTCATATGATTATGTATCAAATTTGAAAAAAACATGTCAGGTAGATGTGTACATGAGACAATATCTTTATTTCCGTTATCTTATACAGAAATGCCAATGAAAGTTGGCAATTATCAAAGTATATCATGATATAATTCATATAAAGTTGCAATATTTTTCACGATTAAAATAACAGAACATTCAGTATAATAAATTAAATAACACAAAGCTGAGAGGGTGATAAACAGTTTGTTACCCCTTGAAAAACATTGTCAACCTCGGCTTCGCCTCAATTGATAATGTTTTCTCGGGGTAACAATCTGCTCAATCTCCCTCTCAGCTATGTGTTATCTATAGAATGTTAACCACAATGTGCAGATTTGCAATTTGAGGTTGGCACTTTTAAGATAGCTGCTGCTGCCATGGAAACAGCCAAAATGCGAAAAAATGGGAAGTGTTCCAAACTTAATGAAACTTGACAAAAAAGTGTTTAACTGGAATGTTTGACTTTGGAATTTTCAAAATGGCTACCGTTAACATGGAAAACAAGCGAAAAAATATAAAGTGATCGAAAATTAATGAAACTTTACAGAAAACATGTTGTGAATCCAAGAGTAGAAAAACAAAAATTTAGAAAAACAAAAAGAAGAAAAAGTAAGATGAAATCAATTCCTGCAATCGGTGAAAAACTATGTTGTATGTCATTAAAACACGTGTTTCCGGCAAGTTGTAAACCCATAGTAGTCCATTAAGCATTACAACTCATTCAATGGATTGGTCAATGACCCAGGTAAAAAAAATAGTGTTATGCAAACATACAATTATATTGGCGGAAACATAAAAATGCCAAATTATTCATATCCGTATAAGGTATCGTATCCGAACTGTTCATATAAACAAGATAATTGAGTGCTGAAAGGTCACATGTGATATGTATTTAAAATGGCAATTTTTATACTTAAAAGATATTTTACAGACCTTTTGTAACAAAATAACTTACATTTTAAAGCATAGGCTCACATCTTAATATTAATAGTAGCAGGCTATTTTGGCAGTTTTTGTGTACAGTTTTGCAATAAATGCAAAGACTAATAAAAGATACCAGCCTATTATTTCGAAAAAAAATCAAGCCCACTCATTAAGATTTAAACAACAATTAGAACAATATAACTACTGATAACTTACAGACGTATGTCTTATGAACAGCTGATGAATGCTATTTGGTATAATTACAATGTTTTGTTGTTGCTTTTGTCTAAATAAAATGCCAAACAAATGATCTCCTGTCATCTTCATACAATTTCAATTGTATTATATCTTTTTTTTTAATTACTGATTGATTATCTTTTTAATATGTTAACACTTACCACACGAAACCCCAACAGCTTTATTATGAGCACAGTTATTTTTTTCCCACCCAGGAAACGAACATTCATTCACGTCTCGTTCTCTGCCCGAACAGTCAAGATTGTTCATCATGACTTTACCATGTCCTTTTCCGAAGTAACCATTTCGATGTACAGTTGGATTGCTACAGGATATAAAAAAAAAACAAATGACGATACGTACGAATTTATTGGGCTGAATTTGTCTTTTAATTGCTACACTGCAAACATTTAATGATGCTTCTGATGACATGGCACACTTTTCTGAGATTTGACGAATGCGCTTTGAGAAGCAATGTACTATTAACTGATATGATAGGCTTTACAGGAATGAGATAACGCAGTCTTCCAATTTCTCGGGTCTTTCTAGAGCCAGGAGGAAAATTAGGTTTTAAGAATGGCAAGGTTATCAAGTACACCTCAAATTATTAGATATTTGTTTAATTACCTAAAATGGTTTACAGCCCAGGGTTTATACATCCCCGGCCATCAAAGTTTTAGCTTTGACGTTCGTGATGAGGTAAATCCAAAAATCGCTTCTGACGCATAAAACTTATAGTGTTATATTCATTATCATGATTAAATACATATGTATGAAACGCTACGAAACGTTTTGAGAGATAAAACCTCACGAGGATTAATAGAAAGGAGTATTCAAGTACTATAGTTATTTAATTCTATCCTCAAAGAATCAGTCAGTATTATTTGTTGAAAAAGTTATACACAGAGTTTTAGCAGAGGAAGATCCATTTGATTTATCAGATCCACTGTCTCGTCGCATTAAAAATTCATGTTCTAGAATACTGGATCTTCATTTATTCATATCGAAAACTTGTGTTAACGCACTCTATGTTTATTATATTTCTAATTATTTTCTTGACTTGGGGAATGTAGAAATGTCCGGATTTTAGGTTTGGCTAGTGACAGAATGCTTACCAAATTAGAAGTAAATGTTCAAGTGACATAAGTGTAGTTCGCAATCTACAACTTTTTTCTCTATCTTGTAGGACACACAATATCTCTAAAACAGCACCTGAGTCCGAACCGATTTTTTTTGTATTTTCGAATACACCTATTACCACACATATCTTTCAATATTTGCTGCATTGCAGATACACGAGAAAACTTACGTATTTATGAATCCTAACATTTTGCATATAACTTTGGCATCAAAGTCGTCAAAATTGTCGTCACATATAGTACCCCATTCACCATCATGTTTAACCTCAACACGTCCTTCTCCCGCAAATGAACCATTTACCAGTCTAACAACTGTAACATCTAAAAATCATATATATTCCATTAGTGAAATTCCTTTGAAATCAGCACGATTTCAAATAGTAAATATCAATTATTAGTGTAAATGTAAATAACATTAAGATAATATGCAAATCGTCCATTTTAACTTACTTCAATTGTGTTGCATATGAATGTGTATCTCATAGAGTAATGTTTGACTGGTGTAAGGGTAGTATTCTGCACCTAAATGCAATAAGTAGTCCGCAAAGTACAAATCGATTTAGCATCAGATGACTTGTTTGTCAAAATAGTATCATTCAGCATTTACGTACGTTTTTCATTGAACAGACATCATGGAAGATCTTCAAAGTTATCCATTAGATGTGGATAAAATAGATTTTATCAATATTTACCTTTTTTTTAAATCGAACAGTGGAATAATTAAAGATACATAAAAATCACTAAAATTCACTTAAGGAAAAGTTATTTCCCATGTATAATGAATTACAAAAACACAAATAAATACAAAGGGATAATAATTGACACTGTATTATGAAAGACGCGTAGTAACTGAAAGCGAAATTCTTAACCTGCTGATTTGTCTTTTTCTTACTCAATTCACGAGATTTAAACATCAGTAAATTACTATCGCATTTATTTTTCTAACCATCAAAACAAAAAACAATTGAAAGATTGTAAATATATCATTCCAACTAGCCATTTGAAATACCTGTGGCATAAACTTTATCATGATTAAAGTGGTTGATATAAAGAAGAGATTTCTAGAAGTAGGTGGTAAAGTAACTAAAGATATGAACAAGTTTTCTTCTATAAAAAAAGAAGGAAATGTGTTTTGATTGCCAATGAGACAAATATCCATCCAAGGTCAAATGAAATGGATGTAAGAAATTAAAGTAACCGTACAGCCTACAACAATGAGAAAAACCCATGCCGTATAGTCGGCTGTAAAAGGCCCCGACATGAAAAATATGAAACAATTCAATTGAGAAAAACTGACGGCCATATTCATAACAAAACAACCTACGAAAAACAAATTTGACAAATATGACCAACGACAGCTACTGAACTACAGGCACCTGACTTAGGATATGTTCATAAAGAATATGGCGGGTTTTAACAGTTTTGTGAGCGCTCAACCCTCTCCTAACCTTGGACAGTGGAACAGCACAACATAAGAACAAACTATAAAAACGTTTCTTTTGGACAAAGAAAACAACTTGTGTAGCATGAACGGTAATGTGTCAATCCTCTAAAATAAATCAAAACCAGACTGTCCAGAATTGATGCGTGTCAATTCAATCTCACGCGTATCGGTATTTGCAAATTATGAGTCATCAATGTTGGTAAAAATGCTTTACTCGTTGTCACAAGAGCAATTTGAAGAAGCAGATCAGTCCAGCTGGTAGATTATACTTTGTTTATCTATTACACTAACTTTTTGAGTATTCTTGTTTGTGTTATCAATAAACTTAACTATAAAAACAGTCCTAATGACGTACAAACGTCGGTACAACTTTGTTTGTATTTTCCAAGTTTTTTTGCATAGTCGTAATATACTTTTTTTAACATTTATCTATCCATTTTGTTATTAGTCATCGGCTTGTCATATAATTACAACAATCCTCAGACCACAAACTAAATCCACAAAATAATTTCTAATTGATAGCATTTGACGGTTTACTAATTTGCATTTTCAATTACTAGAAACTTCGATATCCCAATGCATAGATGGCATAACAGGTTGATGTCTTGGTTTGCAAAGCTTTCATCTTGGAATCGCTTTTATCTTCAAATTGTTTTGTTTCGAGCACCAGTATTGGGTCATGTGCAGCAAAACCCATACACCTGGCATGCCAACTTATCTGTCCGATATCTCAAGAAATTGTTTTTAATGTTCGCATCAAGCTAGTCAGTAAATCGCATGAAGGTCGCGTAGTTGACACCGTTTGTTACTAAAATACATTAATTTTGAAAAAAAACTAGCATGAATTTGCTAAAATTTGTTACATCTATGAACTTTAATGCTATGTTTCGATTTTTATTTAGAATAGTTGCCATAGGTATTGGTAATACGATTACGAAAAGACATTACATTCAGTATAATGGCGGACTTTCCCAAATTTTTGTCATTCAACTACCAGATAGTAAGAAATGATATACGACTCGCCCAAAAAGATTTTTACACATGGTACTTATTTTGTGCTTATCTACTTGCTGACAACAAAATCAGTTAAGGCGAAGCTGGTGCTCTATACTAATGCTTATGTTGTATAAATAATAACATGACTTAAATAACATCACAATCAAGTTGCGTCTTCAAGACTAATCTAGTATTTTTAATTGCTTAAAGGTATATCTTCAACTAGTTAGGTATGTTAGCTATAACTGTATATTCCAATCGTTGTGCAAAATGTATGTTTGGTCAATTAACAGGGCCAATTAAGCCCGAAATCTCACATTGTCCTCTACCGCAGTCTATGTTAAAGTACTGTGTATATCAATCCCTCAACCGTAGTACCCTTTTGTATCATGTTAAGGTAAACAACTTTAAATAACGCAGTGATAATTTACTTTATTAATTTTTACAAATGTATCATCTATGAAACTATCAAATCAATCTACTGTTTTATATTCTACTTACCACAGTTTACACTGATATCTTTAGAATGATGACAGACATTATTAGACCATCCGGGAAATATACAGCCTGATAAATCAAGTTCTTCTCCATTGCAGTCTAAGTCATTCATCCAAATTTTTCCTGTACCCGAATGACCAGCCCAAAAGACCGGATGTCTGTAATACAAGATCATCATACTAATTGTGTGCGACAGAAATATGTTTATCAGTTAATGATAATGCATATACGAGGGAAAAAGTATATTGATATGAATACACATTTTGATGAAAACATAGACGATAATAGAATATGTTTATGTAACAGCATAGGTAAGAACAACAGGCCACTTACTAATTCTTAGATGTGTCAACACTAGGTCCTAACGTAGCGTTTACAGGTCCATTAATGTGCTCTTTACACGAAAACTGCTCCAACAAAGTCATGAGGTACATTATGTATATTTTTTAGACATCATCACGAATTGGTTGGCCGATATGATGTGTCTATGTCTCTACACACAACCGACATGTTTTCAAAGTAATAGATCTTTAGATTACAGAAACGTCATCTTCCAATTCCAAATTCTGACATTTTGACTAAGTGTGGATTGGTTTGGCAAAAGCTGGCTCATTTATAATTTCATGCGGTTCTCGCAATTTTAGTTTTTCAGCCTAACTTGTATCTTTTAGATGCAATTATGAGATATGAACATCGGTGAAAATTCTGTAGCCTAAATATGACGGAGTCACTGTGTTGAATACAAATATACATAAAATTATTTCGTGTAAATCTCTTTCGGAAAGAATTTTTGCTCATTTCATCTCATTTTATTGACGATTGTCGACAATTGTTGATTGTTTTTTCAATTGTTATTTGAACAACAAATTATCAATTTTGCATCAATTTTGAATTTGCAGTGACTTACTAATGGCAAACATTTGTCAAATATGTTTTGTATCAGCCGCGAAACATACAATAGTTATCACCGGTTTTATACCAAATATCATTGGTATCAAGAACAATGTATTCAAAAACTTTCTATTGCATCAACTTTAGCTTTTAAGATTAAAAAATAAAACTTTATCGTGAAATAAGAATATATTGCTGTATTTTTTTATTTCCTTCACCCAGAGCAAAGAAGTCAAAATCAATACTTATTCAAAGGAAAACAATAAACTATGGGTAATTATATCATGAAACTTTTTGAGAATCCTAATTCCTTAATAATCAAAATTTACCATGGAGTAGGCAAATTCAAATACAGTTCTCATGAGTTTATATTTAACGAATTCCGATTATATTTGATTTCTGTAAAAAAAAAAACACAAAAAAAAAGGAGCCTTTTTGATTGTTTTCACATTAACGTACACATCCCATCTCTAATTATGATGATGATATTTATTGAGTATAATATAGATAATACACAACTGAGAGGGTGATATAGCTACTCCGTGAAAACAGCGTCAACCGAGGCGAAGGCAAGGTTAACAATGTATTTTCGAGGGGTAACAATCTGCTATATCACCTTCTCGGCTTTTTTGTTATTAAATGTATTATACAGAATGTTATTGTATTAATGTCTATTAAATTTCAAATTCAAAGTAATGACGACTTGTACATAACAATCATCTGTATTTAAAAAAGCGCACAACTGATCAAGCGTCTCTCTGAAGGTTATTCGACTATGTTCCATTCGATATCATCAGTTATTTCCCTCGTATTAACCAATCAAATTCTTGCATTTTGACATGGAGTATGATAAAAGAAGCTACATGATAGAGACAATAAGTCTGTACGTCAATTCAACATTGGTACTTACAGAACTTCTAGTCCAAGCATGCGACAAACAACACGGGCATCATTTTCATCGAATTTATCATTGCAAATTGTTCCCCATTGTCCACTGTGAAATACTTCAGCTCTTCCTTGTAGTTGATTTTTACCTCCTCGTAGTTGTATAACAGCTGCAAGTTTACAAAAACAAAACTTAAATCTCTTTATAAAAACAGGCCCTCAATTGGGAGATCGTTGCAAATAACCAGAACAAAGTATTAGACAAAAACATTATCATTAAGATTTCAAAACTTAATCTAAGACACAAGTCGGCTAAGTATAATGCCAGACGCATATTTCGTCTATATAAACATAATTAAACTTATCAGTGGCGCTAGAATCGAAATAGTGGTGGGCCGAATCAAACACAATGTTGAATAGTATTGAAAACCCCAAACAAATGTACAAAATAAGGCTTCTACTTTAGGAAATGCCTGTACCAAGTGAGGAATATGACAGTTGTTTCCCATTCGTTTGATGTGTTTGAGCTTTGTATTTTGCCATTAGATAAGGGACCTTCCGTTTTGAATTTTCCTTGGAGTTCGGTATTTTTGTTATTTTACTTTTTTATATACACCTGGGTGTAGACAAATATTAGCATTTCGAATAATTGAACATTGTATAAAACGGTCATCAAAGGAAAATTTGCGGAAAATAAGTAAACAAACTGCTTTGTTTATGCTTGATTCTATTTCTGATACAATAATACTTTAACAAAACCATATAGCTCATAAATAATAGCATAAGTGTTGTAACGAAATGTAGTTAATGGTAACACATCTAGAATAAAATGATCTTTTCCTATTTACAAAATATTGAATAAGATAAATCGATTAAGAAAACAAATATAAAACAAACAAAACTTGTGACATGAGAAAGAAACCAGCGTAATATAGTTGCCTTAGTCATTTATTATACATCCATCGATCAATTTCTTTCCTTATCAAGTCCTACACTGTGCCATAATCATATCATAAGAGGTAATGTATGGTGAAAGGTGAAAAAACATGTCGTTTTAATACTTTTAAAATTCTTCGAATTAACTCTAATCAAATGATACAGACATGTTATCACCGTAGTGGACTTCGTTTAGATGATAGATGTTAGTTTGTTTTAGATGAAAATAAATACGTTATGTCAATTTCAAATTATCAGTTAGCAATTAAACAAGTTGTGGTTTGAAATCCTTCACGTTTAAGTAAAATGGTATATTTTATATATATGGCTAACTCGGCTGTGAATTTTTATGTGCTGGTTTATGTTGTTTTATGTATTCGTTTTTATTCTGTAGTTAGTCACTACTTCGGTGTTATCATGTATATCTATTATATAGTCATTTTTATAAATTTACTGTTTGCAAAAGTATGAATTATTCTAAATACTAAGGATTTTCTTATCCCAGACATATAACCTTAGCCGTATTTGGCACAACTTTTTGGAACTTTTGGTCCTCAATGCTCTTCAACTTTGTACTTGTTTTGGCTTTCGAACTTTTTTTATCTGAGCGTCACTGGTTAATCTTGTGTGAACGAAATGCGCGTCTTGCGTATTAAATTTTAAACCTGGTACCTTTTGTTAGCTATTATTCGTATGTTTCTCTGTCCTATATGTTCTCCCATTTATTTGTATTGTAGTCCTGTCATGTAATGTTGTCATTTTAATGTTATAATTATCATTGCCATAAAAGCGGGAGGTTTGGCTACCCTCAAAACCAGGTTCAACCCACTATTTTTTTCTTAAAATGTCCTGTACCAAGTCAGGAAAATGGCCATTGTTATATTATAGTTCGTTTCTGTGTGTGTTACATTTTAATGTTGTGTTTCTGTTGTGTCGTAGTTCTCCTCTTATATTTGATGTGTTTGCCTCAGTTTTAGTTTGTAACCCGGATTTGGTTTTTTCTCAATCGATTTATGCCTTTATTTACGCGACTAGTCAACATTCCTTACTGTGTTGATGGGTAAGTTCCAGTTGTAATATAACACAAATAACCTACAAAGAATAAAAGAAACAGTAAATTCAGAGATTATTGTGTGCATTTATAACTACAATTTTCCTGCAATCACATATAGTGTTCCTGTGTCATTTTGAATATATTGTATGCGTATAATTTTCAGCAATGAATTGACACTTTACATTAGAATAATTGCTCAAAATGCAACATTTAATAAAAAGGCGGGAGATACCACAGGGACATTCAAAAGTCATAAGTTGAAGAGAAACTAAACAACAGTATGGCAAATTGAAAATTTTCTGTGCAAAATTATGGATTTTATCAAATTATAGCTGTTTGGTATTACATGAGAAAAGTGAGTATATAAGTTTCGTAAAATCCTCTGTTGCTGTCTGAGGCACGGTACTGGAAAATTGGTGCAACCTCTGCCGATTCGAAAAATAGTTTAAATTTAAATCATAGTTAAGAACAACGTTTTATACGAATGTGTATTGTAGTCAAGGTTCAAGTTGAATTGAAGGCACAAGCTTATTTGAACATGGTATGGGCATACTATCTTATGCATGGCGATGTTCTTAACCACTAGAGATGCTTATAGAAGTCTTTCATATTTGTTAATTCTTTACAGATTGCATTAGAAAATAAATGAGTAATTACATGAATAATGGACAGAAAAGTTCTCTCTTTAAGTACACTTATGTCTAGTAAACAAGTTTTGACCTGAAAATGTCATTTTTCATCTTTATTCAGCCATGTTCAGCCTTTCAGTCAATATTTTTAGACTTGTCCACTACGGTAAATTCAGTACTGTTAAGACATTTCGATTGCAGTCAATTCAGTACTGTTCAGTAGCTTTTCAGACAATTCAGTTTGATGTTGATGTGTACAACTACTGAAAACTCTCAACATAGACTGAACAGATCTTTTAAATTGACTGCAATCTAATTGTCTGAACAATACTGAATTTACCGCAATGGATAGATCGGATTATTGAACGATAGACTAAAAAGGGCTAAATAACATATTGTCAGTTATTTAAGAACTGTTCAGATCAAAATTACCGTTTCAGATCGGAATTTGTTTACGAGTTGTAGGTACTCCAAAGTATTCATATTTTATGTGGTTTAAGGTGTCATATCCTAATGTTGAGCTCAAATGCTGTTTTCATTACAAAAAGTTTGATTTCATCAGTAATTTTAGACATGACCCCTCTCCTTTAAAGGTCGAAGAACTCCAACGATCTGCGTTAATTACTCTATTGCATGTTGTATACTAGACTCTAGATAAAGATTATTTATTATTTTTTACTTTTACGTGGAGCCGGGTTTTAAACGTACAGATTCGCAAGGTAACCGTTTACGGAAAGACATGATATCATATCCGTACACATCATTCTGACTTTGACAGGAACCAGTCTCTTCTCTTACTCATTAATGTCGCGTGTTAAGTGGTGAAGCTGCAAATACCAAATTGCAATTCTTTGGTTTGACCATTTACCTCACTCGTGTCGAGCACGCTACCATGATTAAAAGTGTGTGATCACTGATTCTATATATTTTGAGCAATTTTTAAACCTAACATTTGATGATCAAGATAAATTTTAAATTTAGATTAATCTTTTTATATACATTTATAATTGTTATTTTCAATTGTATCTCTTAAAATATTTTTTAATGCAGGTTTAACCTATTTATCTAGTATTTTTAAAGACTCTACCGTTCATAACTATTTTTTGTATCATTTTACGTCAGTTATATAGGACGTCAGTATAGAAAATAATGCTCCTTCAGCAGGAGACCATGAAGCATCGAAGTTTTAATATGATTCACATGGCCATGTTATAACAGGGGACCTAAAAATCAGTCAATACCGAGAGGTTAAAAACTTCTAGGGAAATGGACAAAATAGTTCTCAACCGAGTTGTCAGGTCACATTACTAAATAATTTTAAAACTAATGAAGGAGTTAAAACACATCTTTTTTTAGGATAAGAAACAAACTTAAAGTTCTCAAAAAGTGTTTTTTTGTTCAAACCGGCCGACAAAGTGGCACTTGTATGACGTTAATACAACAAGATTGTTCTATAGAATTAAATTATAAATTCTGCAACATGCAAGGCCATGCGCTCCACGGAGATTCAAATAGTTAACAACCATGTCATAACAAAATCTCAGCTGAAGGCCTCATCTGGATATTTAAAGGTCCCTACTAGTTACTGGCTACCTAAACTACACACAAAGACTCATTATTAAACTGTCTTTTAAAACATATGAAAATAAGGTGGTTAATTATCTTTTAAGTGTAAATAAATGGCCTTTGAAAGTCTTCATTTCAGTTGAAAGTTATGATTGTTCTACTATCTACAATACACTTAACCTTATCAAACAGAAGTTTCCTTACTCAACTCATGGAAAGCCTTCTTCTTTAATCATGGTAATGGAAAAAGTTGAACTGCTATATATAATCTTTTCTCTAATTCTTCGTCAATTTATCCCTTTCTGCACCCATTGTATAAAAAATTTAATCAACGTGTGATTCGTTTGATCTCAGTTCTTCATTGGTTAAAATCCGATTATGACGTCTAATTTTCTTGCTTTCCTCTGAATTTCCTATTGTGACGGCATAAAAAAAGGCGACCATGCCTGATGACGTCACATAGAAAGAGCACATCTTTTTTGCAGATCATCCGAAATTTGCTTGCGTATTGTTTGAAAATCATTAGAGAAACAGATTCCACCACCAAATCTCGTGTAATACGATATTTGTCCACTCTCGACAGTTAAATTTTAAATATTTAACTGTCTCGAGTGGATAAATATCGTATCACACTCGATGCAGTGGTAGAATCTATATTTATCCTTCGATTAAACTTTTCTTAAAGGTTATCAATAAGACACTGAATCTTGGTTTTATCGGTACTAACATTGATTTATTCTTTATATGAATTAAATCATGACTAAAATGTTATTGGTATACAGTTAAAACTAATGTCTATACACGTTACTTATTTATTTTTATTTTTGGGGGGAAGGATGCTTTCCTCAGAGTCTTTTCACTTAATACGTTGGATGTGTACTAATTGTTATTTGAGTCTGGTAGAAAATGATTTGTTTCTTAGTAAAATTTGTATTGATTTTGTGAAGTCTGTCTTATTTCTTGACTTACGTCTAGAAATTGCCAA